GCTTTCAAAGGAAAAAATATATGTATGTATTAAGATTCTGGTAACTGATTTTGAAGTAAATTATAAATAATGTTAAGGATACAATCACACTTCACTTGTACATTGTTTTGGGTTGAAAAAGAGTATTTCATATATGCTAATATAAATAATAATATAATCATTGACATCATTGCTCCAATGACTTGTCACCAATTTTATTATATTAAGATTCTTAATGTTATGATTACTAGTATTATTTTCATGATTAGTAATATTGTTAATATTACAATCGTTACTGTGTTAATATTATGTGTTTTATTGTTATTATTAAACTAAATGTCGTCACTTGAGTTTGTTCTTTATCAATCTCATAAAAGTTCTCCTACACCCTTTTTAATCTAACAAACATTAATAAATTCCACAAATTATGTACATCTCATTACATAATGTATTTTTTATATTCTAGAATATCAATATTAAAATATGATTTTACAGTTCGAAATGATTATTTTGAAACGTAATTTTTTAATAATTCAAAATAGTCATTTTGAAATATAGTTTATATTTAAGGATGTCCACTCCAAGACACATTTATGCAAATCAAAATATATTTTAAGACGTAAATAATGTACTCTCTATTCCGGAATATAAATTAAGTTTTCCATTCCTACATATAAATAATATGCACCCAAATTTTTAAAATAGCTATTTTAAAAAGTAAAATAAAAATACCTTTTAGAATAATCGTTAAAGAACATGAGAATGTATTCCATTTTGGAATATAAACAATGTGCATCCAATATCAAAGCGGTTATATATATTTTTGCAATAGTCATTCCAAATAAAAAAAAAAATGTATTTTGAAAATTGTAATTCGGAAATGACAACAAATAAATTAATAAAAGGTGATACAATTTTTTGGTTCACTTTATTTATGGAGTAGGAAAAAAAATGTGGAGAAGAAGAAGAATGGGCCATAGCTGGTCTATAATGCCCAGAAAATCAAATTTGGATTTCAAATGAATAAACACGAAGCTTTTACTTTTTGCACTTTTAGTATTTCCTTTTTCACCCATTACAGTGAAATAACAAACGTAACCTTTTGAAATTATTATATTTGTTGAAAATGTTATTTGACTCTGGACTAATTATTCTATTCTAAAATCAGAGATTTGTTTTGAAGTAAAATTTTCACAAACTACTTTTTAGCATGTATAATTCGCAAACTATTTAATCTCATAAAAGAGTAAAGATTCTAAGAAATAAATTTCATTATTCCATTATTGGAGATGTTGAGAGAAATTAATTGATGTACAATAATATAATTTTGCATATATTTGATACAAAAATCTTGATAAATTTATTGAATTTAGTAATAATGACAATTTAAAATTCATAAAATGATTTTTGGAGTAGTTATAATCTATTTTTTACACTAATAATACATAAAATTATCAGTTAAAATATAATTTTTTTAATCCAATCGATAACATTGTCTCGTATAAAAAGAGAAATATATAATAAGTGCCCTCAAATACTTGTTTTTATTTTTTGTGCCTTTCCATAATAATAAAAAATAAAAAT